CCATGCATTATCAATGGAAACGCACAGATGCCGTTTAATCTCTTCAAAGCTTTGCCTCTGCACACAAAGCCTTTGTCAGGCATGCAGAAAAAACCCTGTGCGCTTGCTGAGGAGTCTACCCACGTAATGCATCAAACTCATTTCACATAGTGTATTTCGAAAAATGGTCGTCCACTACGCAATCACTTTGTTGAATATTGTGCGCGAAGCTAGCCTTTACTGAGTAAAGATGTATGTTCCTACCTTTGTCGATGACGATCGTTTCCCCAGACAACGCAACGTTGGGACGGATAACCGTGGCTGCAAAAGAAAGCAAAACTTCTGTGATTAGCGAGGCTGGCAGAACTTTACACTGCATTCTCATCGTTTCCCAGACTCTGCTGAATTTCTGCTACACACCATAGCTTCTCTGGAAGCAATAACGATTTACTAACACGGTAAAGATCTAATGCCTATAAAATTCACTGATGCTGTAAAGTTTCTCTAACTCCGTAAAAGTGCATTACCGCCATACGCAGTAAAACCTTTCTATTGCTATTCAAATTCTGCTAACACACAGTTTATATGCTGGTTTTGTGAGGTTCTTCAACTGTTTGGCCTGAGAAGAGCAGATGCCCTGATAGAAAGATGGTGGTGAAGTATTCACAGACAGGTTATAGAGACACAGGCACGAGCGTGAGATCCAAGCTGCATAACAATAGTGGGATACACCGATCACCGCTCAAACAATGGTCCAACCCTTTTCTCACATTTCACTTGCGAAGTATATTCATCACGTTAAACTAGAGAATGCATTTAATGCACAGGTATTTACAAGAAAAGACGAACGTTTCTCTAATTCTGTTATAGCTACTCTACCAGAGTAAAGGTTCCACATTGCGCTAAACTAACCTTGATTTTATAATGCAATGTTTAATTCCTTTCTCAGGCAAAGGTATCACTAACGAACTAATAAAATAACCGACCGACGTCGTTAAAAAATAATCATCGTTAAATGGTGACTTTTACGTAGTAGCAATGCTCCGAATCATTCTGTTAGCGAGCAGAAGTGTGATGTGTTCTCTGACTATCGCATGAGTATACCTAGCTGCGGTTCATCACTGAACTCCACGGTGAACGATACGGACTTGCGCACGTTCTCCGACTTTGGCGACACTTCCTCACACCGGCCACGACTCACTGGTGTCACGCTGGCTTGTGTTAGCGTCCTAGCAGCTGCACTGCCACCAAAATCCACAGCGACGTCTGAGAGAGAGACACGAGATGTATTTCAATTCATCATCCGTGGTAGAAATTGTTAACTTGACTAAGTAAGAGTGTTCTGGATAGATTTTAATTAAGATCACGTATTTTTTAGGGAAAAGTCCAACAGATTTTCTACCACTAAAAATAGGAAGGTCATTGTATGAAGAGCAAAATTATAGATAACAATAACACAAACAACAGTAACCGATTGAACGAGATACTACGTGCATAATCATGCTAGATGGCACACATTACTGTGAATTTATGGAAATTTATGAAATTATGAATTATGAAATTATTCAAAAAATTATTCATGAAATTATGAAATTTATGAAATTATTTTTTTCACGGAAACACTTAAAGCATTATCGTGATCAATGTTTTTGGAGTCTTGGTTTTGAATAGTAGAAATTTCAGAAAAGTCACCTGAAGAATTCCTGCTGCTTTAAAACCCAGGAGTCGACAGTAACAACATAGAAAGTACTCAGCATTCTGCATTAGCTTTGACACCCGCATGCGACTATCGATGTCAGGTGTGAATTGGACCGGTCCCCGAATCGTCCCCGGCGTCACCGCAGCGTCATTGCGGCGTCAACGCTAACGTCACAGCAGTGTCATCGCAAGTGTCATCGTGGGGTCACCGCAGCGTCACCGCAGCGTCATCGCAGCGTCATCGCAGCGTCATCGCAGCGTCATCGCGGTGTCATTGCGGTGTCACAGCAGTGTCACCGCAGCGTCATCGCAGCGTCACAGCAGTGTCATCGCTAACATCACAGCAGTGTCATCGCAGCGTCATCGCAGCGTCACAGCAGTGTCATCGCTAACGTCACAGCAGTGTCATCGCTATCTGTATTTCCTTTCGATTTTCATATAAATTCTTATAACTCTTATATGAAATAAGACTCCACCACTCCTCCACTCTTACATCACCTTCACTCTGCATCAGAAATGCACGGAATTCAGCAGCGAGTGTGTGTGTGTGTGTGTGTGTGTGTGTGTGTGTGTGTGTGTGATTGTGCATCATCTGTATTTCCTTTCGATTTTCATATAAATTCTTATAACTCTTATATGAAATATTACTCCACCACTCCTCCACTCTTACATCACCTTCACTCTGCATCAGAAATGCACGGAATTCAGCAGCGAGTAGGCTGCGCGTGTGTGGGATGGGGAATCAGCCTCCTTGCTATCTCTCCACCTCGTCATGTCCCATCCTCATTCACCCTGGTCGCTAGCATCACTACTGCTACTGCTACTGCCGCTGCACCACACACACGCGCGCGCGCGCACGCACGCACGCACGCACGCACACACACACACAGTGCACACACACACATACACAGTGCACACACACACGCACGCACGCAAGCCCACACACGCGCGCACGCACGCGCGCACGCACACACACCACGCTTCACACAATCAGTTTCACTACCTGCCATCACTCGCCAGGGGGCACTGCGCGCAAAGCTCCTGACGTCACGAGGTAATGTTCCGATTACACATGTGAAGCGATCATTATTTCTCTCCATCCATACGTGCTCGCGTCTGTACGCCTGCGAGCGTGACACAACACAAATGAGTTTATTTATTTATATATCTGACAATACAAGCATAGTGCACTTACTCACTAGCCGCCATCCCAGAAGTTGTTAAATATAGTTATTCATTTCCTAAATATGGTTCGCCGGATGATGCAGCACATTTAGTAAGATATTTTGGTCCGTTAACAATAATGCTAAACTTTACAGTAATATAATACCACAATTCGACATTTAGCAGTGAAAAGATAACTGAAAACTGAAAACGCGAAC